TTTATTTTTGGTTTTCAAGATACTTATATTACATATATATATAGTATCTTGAAAACCAAAAATACATTCTTTACCCAATAAACATATTCCTTTCTTCTCTGTTATATTTGATATGCTTCTGTCAGCTTCTATGGATATGATATTATTTACTTTCATTTATAACAGTTTTATGGCTTGTGTCTAGAAGTCTTCCAAAGCCTCATGCGATCATAGGTGGATTTTTTTTTCCACAGGTGACTGGATCTAGGGTGCATGATCCTGGGATGGATTCAGGGTGCAATGCTATTATCAAGGGCACCAGGATTAAGGGTGTGAGTGCTACCTACCCTAAATAGCTTGGATAAAATATAAGGGGCAGAAAGAGCTGTGATCACCTTTCCTTCATTTTGTTACATTCTGCCTGCCGTGGAATGTTTCCCTCTGCAATGCCTATGTGCCATGCCACCCTGCTTCGGAGCCAGCTGATGATGGCCTGAAATCCCTACAAACTTTGAGCTAAATAAACCTTTGGTCCCTTAAATTGTAGGAGTATTTTGTCTCAGCAACAAGAGAAAAGTAACTAAGACAAACAGCTATAATTTCCTACTGTCATAGTGACTTGTTATTAAAAGTGTAATTAACAAAGTTAAACCAGAGAAACCATCAGTCCTATAGGTTTGTTAAAATGTTCCTATTTACAGGTTCTGTTTTGTTTAGTTTATTAAACAAATTTCTCTTAAAATGAAAACAAATAAAATGATGCATAATTAAAGGGATAGTTATTCCCTGAATCCACTGAAAGTATAAATATTGAATATTTATCCAGGGGCAGGCAGCAAATAAAAGTTACAAGCACAATCTTAGGAATTTGACTGGCTCCTCTACTAGCTATGTGACCATGGATGGTCAAGTTACTTAATACCTCTGAGCCTCAGTTTCCTCAGAAGTCAAATGAAGATAATAATAGTATCTTTTCATAAAGTTGTTGTGGAAGCCGTACAAGAAAAATAAATGCAATTCAAGAGTTTAGACCTATGACTGTCATGTAGCAAATGTTATGTAAATGTTATTATCATTAAGCACTCTACTTATATAATTGGATTTATTATTTACAAGCAAACTATGAGGTAGTTATTATTGTGGTAATTTAACAGATGAGAAAAACAGGTTTGGGGAGTCTGGAGAATTTGGCCAAGGTCATTTATCTAAAAAATTGAAGGAGGAGGCTTTGATTGAAGGAGTATCTGGCTCTTGGATAGTAGGTTATTTTTTAAAAAATTAAATGTTTTATTTTGATATAATTGGTGCTGAGAAGTACTTTTAGCCATGTCTGAATGACTGCTTTAAGAATCATAAGTCAATAGACTTACCTTCATGTCAGAATTCTTTGATCAAATATATATTTTCACACAATGGGCATTTTTAGCCCAGCTTTGACCTAAATGGCCTCATCTTAACTTGATTTCTCCTTCAAATTCCATGTCCAGTAGTAAGCACCTGCATACACATCCCAAGATGTTCTGCTTACAGGTCAGACCACTGATAGCTGTACATCTACTTCCTTTTAAAATGATCACATGCAAATCAATACAAAAGCACGCCTTTTCTTTATTAAAACCAAAAGAACAAAAAAAAGCACTGCTGAAGGCAGTTTTTGCTAGTGTTGAGATCTTGTTTTCTTATCTTGGCCTTCCTACCTGCTATAGTTTGGGTGTATCCTGGAATTCATGTGTTAGAAACCTAATCCCCAAAGTCATATCTTAATGGTATTTGAAGGTGGAGCCTTCAGAAGATAATTAAGATTAGATGAGGTCAGAGGGTGGAACCCCCATGATTTCATTAGTGGCTCTATAAGAAGAGGAGAGACGTTGTTTGTTCTGTCTCACCATATAATGCTCTATAAAATCTCAGGACTCCAGAGTTCCTCCGCATGAGACTGCCTGTACCATTATGCACTGTCCTTGTCCTGATCCTCCAGAATCATGAGCTGAGTAAATAACTTACCCAATCCCTAGGACATGAACACAAGCTACAGTAGGGGAGATGACTGTTTTTGAATATATTTCTATTCTTTTATGTGATATCTCATTTAATTCTTTTCACAAGATAAGATTTTTTTTTATTTTATGGATAAAGAAATTGAGGCTCATAGAAGAAAAAGTGACCCGACTCAAGATTTAACTATCCAGATGGGCTCAAACCCAAATTCTGTGGCTCCAACACATGAGCAGATGTAGGTTCATATGCAATCTTTCCCCTTTTGCTAGCTCGTGATCATAGGGTAGTTACAAAACCTGTCTGATTTTCCTGAGCTGTTAAATGAGAGCAGATTGGCATTTCTTGAAGCATCCACTACAGTACCTTCCATCTTTCTCTTTGTTTTTGGTATCGGGGATTGAACTTGGGACCTTGCTCTTGTGAGGCAGGAGGTGAAATGACTGAGCTAAATCCCCAGCCTCTCTTCCATCTTCCTTAATGATCACCATACTTATTACTGGAGTTAAAGACTTGAGTGAAAATAGAAAAAGAATGA